CTTGGACTTATCCTCGACGTAGCCTAAGACCGCGGCGCATCAGTATTCCGGTTCAAGACACAATCGCTTTTTGACACTAGGAGTGACATACCTGAGGCAGAGGAACTGTTGGCTCGCTTAGCTGGGGCCATGATGAGAGTCTGTGCCTAAAGGTGAGTTAGCGAAAAGAAAGGTTTGTGATTATAGAAGATTGCTGCTAGGCGACGAATATGAGGGAAGGAGTAAAAATGGCCGTTCGGAAAGCGACCGAGGCATCGCTGGGCGGCCGGAGCCGTGGTGCGGCCGATCACAAGCACCGGCGGCTGGTTGTAGTTCCCGCCGCCCGGCCATGACTCGGTATCCACCTAAACACAGAATAGGAAGATGACAGAAGAGCATTCATCCTATTCCACGTCCTAGATGAAATCCGAAGCATGTGAAAGTTTCCCACGAAGGCAGAAATAGATCGGTGTAGGCTGAATGGCAATGGGAGGGCCAACTTACGGCGCGTGCTGATGTCAAGTGACGGAAGCTGTTCCTCAAGGCGGACGAGCGGGCTAGAGTCAACATGGCCGGCGCAAGCAGGAAAAGGGTCTGGAAGAACCGAGAGGCAGGAGAGGGCCTTTTAGGGCGGAGGCGGCGATGTCGGCCTTTTATACAAGAGTATCCAAAGACCGGTTGACAGTCGACACGGACGTGGGACAAGCTTGCGCTTATCACTTCGGCCTCGGTTGAGAGCGGTAGTGACTGGGGAAGAGAGACGGACCCAGGAGGGAAAACGGTTAGACAGGTTCAGACGAGTACCGACAGTGGAGGCGAAGCCAGGGGCAAGGCGGGAATATCTCCGGGGGGCAGTCAATGGTGCGCAGCAACGAGATGGACGTGATGAGCTCGTGGTGGAGTATGGAGTCGAATGCGACGACGTCCCATGGGCAGGGGCAGGGGGGCACGTACTCCGCGCCAATGCTCTTTCCTGCCCTTGGCTGCTTGTGACCGCGACCGAGGACGTCACCCCGCATCAGCCTTGGGCCGAGGTACGACGGTAAGGGCCACCAGGGCAGGTGCAACCCACGGAGAAAGTACGTACACACCTTTTTCGTCGGGGCACCTCAAGAGGAAGGAAGGGAGAGTGACCAATCATTCCGCTTTATCTCGAACGATCTAGATCCACCCTCTCCGAGGCAATGTTGAGGCTCTTCTGGGGTATGAACTATGCCGTTTCCAACTACAACATCTGAAAGGTTATAAAGTCCTGTAAGGATTATAGTGTGTCAATGCTCGTCTAACCATTGTACGACTTACCTACAACACTCGTCAAGTTTCCCTCTTCTCTCATATTGAGTCTGTATTGCTGTCCGCATCCCATCCCAATCGGCTCTCCCCGCTGCGAGTTCACCACCACCTTGTTGAAGTGGAGTGAAATCCACGTCCCCTTTGCAAGTTCCGTTGGCCCACGTCCCACGCAAGCCTGCAGGATCTCTATCATATCCACGACCTCACGGAGGGTCCCCTCTACTCTCCATAGGCCCAGTCCCCTACGTGGGTGTTCTCGAAACAGCTGCACTCACACTGGTACCGTCCCGCTGGCCCGGCCCCGTCCGGAACTCGACCGAACCGATTCGACAGATACTCCCACGGGGTCGGTAGTTAACCGCGCTAGTTCCGGCACCGCATGCAATGATCTCACTTAAAGGCAATGCTTGGGAATTCGTTGTGGCAGGATGGGGATCCCGAATCCCGAGCATATGGTTCAACAGGCAAAACAGACTGCAAAACAAATAGATCAACTACATATGTAAATCATTCCTGTTCGCCCCATGTTCACAAACAAGGATGTCAGTAAAAAACAGCCGGGGTAGCAAAAAACAACGACCAAGGCATCTATACCACATAATAGTACACCCTTTCGCAACTGATTATACCGCCATGCATGCCCATTGCCTTGGCAATGCATCCCCGGATAGCCACCCAGTCGGTATTTCCAACTGTTTAACGGCCTGCAACGGCTCTTCTGATCTAGACCTCTGTCACGGCTTGCCCATGACAGTGACTGCAACCAGTGGCGTTGACTCCGTGACAAGTTGGCACCTTTGGGCCAAGTCAATCAATACACTCCGATCCCCCGCGCCAATCATACGCCATCGTCGGCATTTAACCCAATCTGTCCCGTCACATCAGCTTTTCCCATTTCCTGTCTCGTGCTGTGCCATTCTTAACGCAAGCTTCTACGCCTCGTAGCTCTTGACTTGGCCATCGTTGCTTGGAGGCGGAACGGCTTGCGCTCCAGGTGCCGGTTGGAAGCTCAGTCGGTCACCCTCGTTCATAGCATCCTGGGCCATGCGTACGCCCTGGTCGCCGCCAACCGCTGCCGCAGCCTTGAGGCCTTCTTGAACCTCACGCACTCTTCGGCGGAAAGCCAGTCGGTCGAGGAATAATTGTTGGCGCGCCCGCTCAAGCTCTCGTCGCTCTGCACGCAGTACAGCCTCCATCTCGTCAAAATACTTAAGCTTCATTTCCAGCTTCTGGAGAGTCACATTAGATGCAGCAGACACCAATCGTGTCATTTCTCGCTCCTCATGTGATGCAAATCCTGCCGCCCGACCGCCAATTGATGCCAGAGGGATCGAAGCAAGCGCGCTTGTCTTTGTCGTTGTTGTGGTCGTCGTCGTCGTTGTCGTGGTTGTTTCTTGGCGGACATCAATGTCCATCGAATCAGCCTTGGTCTTGCCGTCACCGTTAGCTTGGGCTTCGTCACCAGCCTTTTCGCCATCCAGCTGCTTGCGAAGCTTTCGCTTAAGCTCTTCAGCCGACTTGCTTGCCGCCGCTGCAGTGCTGGCTGGATCGGCTAGACTGGCGAGGAATCCAACGACCGACATCACAGGATTATCCACTTGGCTGAAGGGAAGCTGTCCCTGTTGAGGACCAAGCATCGACAAGCCAGTAGGACCATTGATGGGGGCCTCCGAATCGAGATATTTCTCCTCAATATCCAGCTGCAGGAACTGAAGGACACACTCCTCCCGCGTGCGGGTCCCAACGTGCTCGGCAATCTCACCCCAATCATCATCAAACCGCTCAAGACCTTCGAGAAGTCGCAAGATCTCAGCATCCGTCCACGGGGCGTCCCGGTCGAGAGTGGATGTGTATGTGGGATTTTCCATCTTCACATACATGTTGCTGGTATGGTTGGCAGGCAGGCGACCCTCAGTGAAGCAGTTGGGGCAAAGGTCGTACTTGGCCTTCGGGTTCGCGTCCATGTGATTGCTGTGATAGTAGATTCGGGTACAGTCGTTTCCACACTGATGGCAGTGAACCTTCGCAATAGGGGTCTTGGTGGCATCTTCAGACCCAGGAACACCATTAGTCGCAGGGGTCTCTCCATTCGTCTTGCCCTCCGTCTTAGTGATGAGGGTGTTCTTGGCATTGGCTTCGTAGATGTTACGTCCAATCTCGAGGTTCTGATCGGCCTTGGCTGGCGCGGTCGCAATGGCCTTGTTGTCGGTATCTTGACTCTTCTTTCCCTCCAAGACCACTGGGTCAGCAGACGGCTGCCATGCCTGAAGACCTCGGGGGGTGTCACAGATGATCTTGAAATGGCCGGTGAAGGGGGGTCCAACATGCGAGGGACGTTGATCAGCATCAACCTGCTAAGAGTTAGATATGATCACAATAAGTCGCCAAGCCAAATGTCCTACCTGGTAATTGATCAATCCCCATTGCTCCAAGAAAGCATGCACGCGCATGATGGCGCAAACGTCACCAGCCAAGTTTCGGCGACAGGCAGTCACCGTCAAGTATTCGACGGGGTTAAGACGATATGTGTTGATCATGAAGTCGCGGTAGTCCTTGTAGACAGCGGGTGTCTTGCTACGGTTTCGGTTGTTGAAGAACTCGGCCATCGCCTTGCGCTCGATATCGTGGATGGCGTTCATGTCGAACCAAGTGCTGTAACTAGGAAGGACAATCGCATGTGTCTGGGTCATGAGGTGCTCGCGAGCAGCGGACTCAGCAGTCTCCTTTGACTTGTCCTGGCCTTCGGTGCCTCCAGCCGCCTCATCTTTGGCCTTAGCATCATCAGGCGCATCGTTCATCTCCTCATCGCCGCGAGCTAGTAATCTTAGCCAATACTCTGTCAACCATCATCAATTCGTCCTACCTGGAGCAGGAGTCGTGCTGTCCTGTTTAATGTTTGAGTCGGTTGCCAGTCCCTCTGACATCTGGACATCTAGATGACCCATCAGCAACATGAACGGGGAGCTCAGGGACAAAGCGTAATGCGCGCGTACCTTCGCCATCGCCAGCGCTTGGGTCTGGTTGCAAAGGAGGTTGCGCAAGGATTGGATTGCTATTGGGCGAAGCACCGTTGCCGGGCGAGCCGTAGGTCGCAGTGTCATCCATCTTGATGAGGATCGCGATCGGCCAAGGGTCGCGGGCGACGAGTTACGACAGACGGGTCAATCGAGCGCGCGCGAGGAAGGCGTTGCGGGGAGACAGGCGAACAGAAAATGTCGCGCAACAGCAGACGTGACTGTTGGTTGTTGTGCCGTTGGGATATCGATGCCACTAGCGTCGTGATGTTGATGGAGTCTGGCGATGGATGGGATGGGTCGCGTCTTGGAGAAATTTTGGCGCGACAGTAACGGGGAGATTGACTGGCATTCAGCTTCCTGGCTACTGCATCCTGAACGCGCAGCGCCAGGCAGGGGATCAGCTATATCACGTGATATGGATCAGTCACGTGTATCTCCTCCGTGATCATGTGATTGTCCTTTGAAGTCGGCTCGGCATTTCCGTCGCACCTGCCGTCAGTTCCCGGCGAGTGGCCGATGACGGGGGCGCCCCAAGAGCGATCAAGTCGGCCGCTACCTCGGGCCGTCACCAGCCGTCGCCGACTCACAGAGTGCCTTAAACAGCCATCATCTCCTCCTAGAGTTGGCAGCTGGCCAACCCACGCAACCAATTCCACCGACAAGATGCTTCCGACTGCGAGACGAGTATTGGCGAAGCAGGCCACTGGCCTCATGGGTCGCGCCCATGCCTATAGCCTCAACGCACAAGCCCGCCAAAGGCTGTTGTCGACCCTGGCCATTCTGGAGCATAAGGATGGACAGCTCAACCACAGCTCATCGAGCGCCTTTACAGCTGCCAAGAAGCTCGGTGGAACGGTTCATGGCTTTATCGCTGGCAGCAACATCAAGGCTGTTGCAGAGGAGGCCGCCAAGGCTGAGGGCGTCGAGAAGATTATCGCCGTGGATAACGGCGCCTATGACAAGGTAAGCGCCGTCGCAGAGTACATCCCCGACCTCATAGGCACAGACTAACAACTCAACCAGGGTCTCCCCGAAAACTATGCTCCTCTCCTAGTTGAGAACATCAAGAAGGGCGGTTACACTCACGTCATCGCTGGCCATACCGCGTTCGGCAAGAACCTCCTCCCCCGAGTTGCTGCTCTTCTCGATTCGCAACAAATTTCCGACATCACGGCGATTGAGGGCGAGAACACGTTTGTCCGACCCATCTACGCCGGCAATGCGATCGCCACCGTCGAGTCGTCGGATTCCATCAAGGTCGTCACTATTCGAGGAACTGCTTTTGCCGCTGCTGCTCTTGAGGGTGGCTCTGCTACTGTGGAGGAGGGTGTTGACCCCAAGACCGAGTCCCCCACTGAGTGGGTGTCTGAGGACCTGGCCAAGTCGGACCGTCCCGATCTTTCCACCGCCAGCCGTGTGGTCTCCGGAGGCCGTGGTCTCAAGTCCAAGGAGGACTTTGACAAAGTGATGCTGCCTCTGGCCGATGCTCTTGGTGCTGCCGTCGGTGCCTCCCGTGCTGCTGTCGACAGTGGTTATGCCGATAACAGCCTTCAGGTTGGCCAGACCGGCAAGGTTGTCGCTCCCCAACTATATATGGCTGTTGGTATCTCAGGTGCTATTCAACATCTTGCGGGTATGAAGGACAGCAAGGTCATTGCCGCTATCAACAAGGATGCGGATGCACCCATCTTCCAGGTCGCCGATGTCGGTCTGGTTGGAGATTTGTTCGAAAAGGTCCCTGAGCTCACCGAGAAGATCAAGAGCTCTTAAGTATCTATGATGTACAGTGATGTGATATACAAATAGTTAAAAACGTCTTTTTGAGCGTCATCCAAGTACCGCGAGCATGTCCGCAGTGTTGGTGAACTTTTCCCTCTCCTTTCCGTTCTTTTGCCCTCGTTCTCTTTCTGCTTGATCAATCCGACGCCAATCATCCCATGCGACGGCTTGGGAAGCTGATGGCCCTATTTCCTGTCTCAGCCCATCCCAACCACTCACGCTCGTCTCATCGGATGTGTTCATGAATTGACCACCCGAGAGCCAGTCCTCTGCGATTGCCTCGCCCGTAATGAATGCATCTTGCATGGTTGATGCAATGACTCCAGTTGGACCTCTCTTGACCCAGCCTGCACAATAAACTCCCGGAACTCGCTGGTTCCGAATACCCTCGGCGTGTGTGTCAGACACCATTCTCGTGACTCTGCCAAGTCCGTCGTTATCAACGACACCCCGACGCTCATCAAATTGGATGCCAATATCCTCAAATCCGGGCAGGGCCACAGACTTATAGCCCACGGAACGGAAGACTACGTCGGAGGGGAGAAAGGCGGTTTGCCCAGTTGCCTTGACGGATGACTTTGGGTCGAAAGGATCTGCAAGCTCCGTAACGTCGAATTCGGTGCTCGCAACCTTGGAGGGTGCGTCTTGGTTGCCGAGGAAGTGCCTTGGGGAGAGACAGCTGTCCAGAGACCACACCTTGGACGCACTTTCAGCCGGTGTCGGCGAGCCCTTGACCAAAACTTCCATCAACCGCTTGGAAGCACGGGGCAACGTCTTGAGATCTTCGGGGACCAGGGATCGGTTGAATGGTAAGAACCCAACTTGGTCGAGTTTCATCAGCTCTCGGACCTCCTTGATCGTGAAGGCAGCCTATACAATTTGACGTCAGCGTCTCATTCGTTGTCCTCCAGGTGTCGCTTATGTTTCAACATACTTGCATAGGCCCTCTTCTTCCCACAACGTGCACTCGTCTGACCCGACTCCGGGATAGCGCCTCAAGTGCCTGCTCTGTGATGTCTGTCTTTTTCAGAACATCAATGTCTTCTAGCAGCACTCTTGCAACATCAAGGGCAACATTTCCTTGGCCGATGATGACAGCCTCCTCAGCCTGTGATAGATCCAGGTTGAGGTTGGAGCAGTCAGGAAGACCATTGTACCAGCCAACGACTTCACGGGCAGAGTATATTCCGCTCAGTGTCGACTCGCCGGGGATCCCAAGCTTCTTGTCTTCCGAGGCTCCGTATGCGAATAGAATCGCATCATAATGGCGCATCAAGTTTTGCAGCTCTAAGGTACAATGGTTCGCGGAATGACCGGGATGGCCAATGGAGACATTGCCAATAAAGGTGAAATTGGGAGAGGATGCAATCTCATCAAATTTCTCCTGGCAATTCTGGGGGTAGAAAGATCAGCTGCGATCTTTTTTGCTCCATGCCTTGTAGGGTAGCCAACCTTGACCTCTGGATGATCGGGAGCGACACCATGACGAACCAAACCAAACGGCACTGGAAGACTTTCATACATGTCCACTTTCGCTCCTGGGACTTTGCCCATCACCCGGTATGTGGTGTAGAAGCCAGCCGGGCCGGAGCCCACTACCGCCAGACGGAACGGCGCATCCGGGGATCGGCTCCCATGTCGACGGACTGTCGATGAGAACGAGCGGCTTGAGCAAGCTACCCGAGACAGCTGGGGGACTAAGCTCAATCGGCTGAAACGCCGTGTTATAGTCAATGGCATCATGAGCAAAGCCAATTCAAGAGATCATGACGCGAAGAATAAGCAAGTGGCAGAGATGTGACTCTTTGGATTGGCCGGACATGTCCTCTTGGCTGGTTATGGCTGATCGGCCTTCACCGGGGTCCGACCTCCGACTGTTGCCGTGACAACCTGGTCGACCCCCCGCGTGTCCACAAACTAGGTATCTTCACCAGAGGCCATTGTTCCCGTATCCATCCTAACAGCTGGGCCTTATTTCGCTCGGATAACTATCGCATTCCAAGTCCCGGCTCGATTGTCGGCTCGCCACGGCCGACTAGATTTCCCGTCAACTCACATCGACATCGCTAAACCACCGTTGATCAACAATTCATTCCAAGCGCGAAGCGCATCGCCTTGCGACGCCCAACAATGCCTCCGTCGCAGGCGCCTTTCCTCTACAGCGCTGTTCAGCGCCACGACTCACGCTTCCCCGAGCCCAAGTTCGATCCCAAGGCCGTCACGAGAGCAAGCTGGACGCCTCCGAAGCCGAGAAAGAAGCCATCTGGACCTCTCGTCTCCTTCAACAGGCACCCAGAGTAAGTACTACTGAGACAAGTGCCATGTTCCGCAAGCTGTCGATCTCTAACCGTCTTATAGTGCGCACGAGGTTCTCACACATAGATCAAACGAGTATGCTTCTATGAGCCCTCTTACCAAGAGCTTTATCAAATGGCTACGCCGACTCCAATGTGCGCTGCGTGTGCTGCAGCTCATCGCCGCGGCTGGAATCTTGACGTTGATGATTCTCATCACCAAGACTGATGCGCTTCAGGGCTGGGTCCTTCGAATCACAGTAAGCTCCAGAACTCACTGTAGCATGAACGTGGACTGACCATTTTGTGTAGCCTGGCGTGGTGATGGTCCATTGTGTCTATGCCATTTACCATCTTGCGCGTGACGCTGCTTCACGTGCGCCGGCCTCTTCTTCTGCTTATCAACTCTTCGCTTTCGTCTCGGATCTTGGAACCTGCTCGTTCTATGCCTTTGGTGCCCTTTCGGTATACAACAATGGTGATAAATGGCAAACGCGCCTCTCGGACCAGAGCCTCATGAACTATTTCAGGCCTACCGTCTGGTACACCCTACTCGGGTCTGGTGGAACTCATGTGATTACGTTGTGCATCGCAGGTTGGCTGTGCTTTACGTTCCGCAGGATCAGCCAGATGCCACCAGACATGAACCCCCTCGAAGATCATCTGACGGCACGTCCCAAGCACAAGAGAAACAAGTCGTCATTGGCCACCTTCAGCACAGTGGACAATGAGAGCCGGATGTCTACGGCTGCAAGCGACCGTCGACAGTCTATCATTCCGCACCAGGGCATCCATGATGGGATCGAGCCTCCGCGTGCTGTTCCATTTACCCACACGCGAAATGGATCCAGCACCACTGTTGGAAGCAGAGCCTCTCGAAGCAACCCGCCGGCCAGCCCTCAGTATCACAGAGTTCCAGTTACGCCTCGCCGTGAACGCCGTGACTCGGCCGCATCAAAGGCAACCACTCGAACATCAGCCACGCGCTCATTCTATCACGATGCCTACATGGAGATCCCACTGGATGAGCGTCCCAGCTCTCGACCAGCGAGCAGCTACAACAGGACAAGCCAGCCTCGACCTGCTAAGTTCACCGAGACGTGGATGCCAACGGATTCGCTCATCTCCCGAACTAACCAGCGGAATCGTCAAATGGAAGCGGCCAAGACCAGTGCTGCGAACCGCGAGAACAAGTCATACGAGGCCTTGGCCCCGCGCTATGGCAACCTCGACGATTCCGATTCTGAATATGGTGACGAGAACAACCCGTCATACGGCTTCGAGTCAGATGCAGCTGACGATCTTCGACCCCATCCTCTTCGTCTGAACCCACTGACAGCCGTGCGAGAGACTCCCCCTCGTGCCCAGACGCCTTACTTCCCCTCTGCTAACTCACTGTCTGAAGTCAGTTCTAATGCCAGACGAGTCAGCGCGAGCAGGGACATCGCCGATGAGAAGCCTGCATTTGCGCCCCGTAATCGACAGAGCTCCATCCAGCCCGAGTCCGATTTCTCTGCCAGACCCTACGGCGATCTCAAGAGCGCGACCCCTCCGGTCATGATGGTGGGCAACACTCGCAAGGTGTCGACTGGTAACGACTACAACAAGTATTCGTCAACGACGTACGAGCGACGAGTGAGTGGTAAAGTGGCTGAAGAGGGCCGAGGCGGCTTTGCAGGAAACAGGTTTTCCTTCCTTGATGGACGTAATCCGCTCGGGGAGCGATGATTGATTGGGGATCTTGGGATTTGCGATTTTGGGTTTGATGAATTTCTGTCATGAGTTTTATGTAGGATGGTTCAGCTTTGATATCATGGGTCAGATACCTGTTCTGGTTGCGATGCGGTTCTTTGGCGGACACGGCGTGATCGGATAGGTGGTGTAATTAGGTAGATATCTAGGTAGTTACGGCGTTGGGATGCGATGAAAAAAGTTTTGAAGCTTGGAATTCTTCATTCCCGCCTCGCTGTGAATGATGCACTATTATACCTATCATGAGACATCCTAGCCCCCGAGTAATCTAGCCTACTTGTACTATTCATCCACGTATGATCGCCAAGATGTTGGTGCTTGGTCTGCCTTCCAACCTCTCCCGTCCCAGGAGTCCAACTGACATAGATGCCTCATCGTAGGGCGTCCATGAGGACAGTTCCAGGGCTTGTCCAAGTCTGCCATGTGACGAACCAGCGTCTCCATCTGCCCCTGTGTCAAGGGCTTGCCGATCATGACACTGCTCCGACATGCTCTCGAGGCGAACATCTTCCTGACCTTGGAAGGTCGAGGGACATGTTTCGACTCGGACGATTCTTCTCCGAGGAGGGCTATTAGCTCTTCGAAGTCTGTCAGGGTGAAAGTCACCTCGCGGCTCATGGGAAGGGCCAAGACTTCACATCGTGAGCCAACGGGCTCGTCGCCACTCATGTCAACATGGACCTTGAAGCCGTTGGCCTCGATGGCTGAGATGTTCTGCATCACGATCTCTTCTTCAAGAGCAGTCAGCTCGAGCCGTTTCGGGTGAACCAGTCGCTGTGATTGTACAGTTTGAGCTTGCTGCAGTCTTTCGAAGTTGTACTTTTCGTCAGTTGCGTGCTGGTCAACGATGAACAGCTCGTCATGCTCCGACAGCTCAAGTTCATCATCCGATCTCGCCTGTGCTGGCCGGACTGCAATGATGAAACCCAGATTAAACTGTCCAGCAATCCTCATCTTCAAAAAGTCTTTCCTTGCAATAGTGAGAGAGAGCTTTTCTTCGGCATCAGCTGCACCGAGATCTGTCACTTCTTCACCATCACTTGGTGATTGACCGCTGTCCATGGGGAGGTGGCTAGCCCAACTCGCCATTTGCGATCTGATCGATCGTTCGCTCGTCCGTAGGTGCTGGAGAATCTGAGATGTTGCATCCTTTTTGCGTACACCGGCCTTGAGAGGTTGGCTCTTCTGCTCTGCTGTCAAGATTTCGCTGGACATGGGTGCAAGAGGGCTTGTGAGCGATGGATCCTGGGGTCGATCGTCCGTTCCCTCGATACTGGGCGAAGGATCAGCCAACTCGGGGTCCTCTTCATGATCACTTGGCGCGTTGGGTCGCCCGGGTGTATCACGGCCCCTGATGTCATCTCCATCTCCATCCTTGTCATCAGAATCAGGTTCAGGTTCAAGTTCAGGTCTAGAATCATCAACGCTTTCATCATCCGAGCCATCTTGGAGCGGCACTCTATGATCCGTTGCCACTTTGCTTCCAGCAGCAAATATTTGGGTCAGCCTGTTTCCAAATGATGGCTTTGGCTCATCAACCTCCATCTCTTCAGCGTCGGCTGCCAGCCTCTCATCCACATCGGGTAGGGGGCTAGTGGGATCTTGCACTCTTTCGTTCCCAATGATGATTGTAGTGACTTCTGGGACTGCCCCTCTTTGCGTCGATCGTACCGGGCTGACGTGGTGATGGTCGTCTTGCCCACGCCTCAGGGGCTGGACGGCAGGAATTCGAGGCTCATCTTCAACTACTGGTGGAGAATCAATAGCCTTGGTGGAAGCTTTGGATATTGTATCGGTCTTTTCCTTTAACCGTTTGTTGAAGTCCCTGACGGGCAGGGGTTTGTCAAAATCGTTTTCGTCGCTTTCTGAGGAATCCGAGGAGCTTTCAAGGAACAAACTTGGCTCCTCTTGTTTGCTGGCCGACGCTTTTGAATCTGATCGACCCTGAGGTCGAGGCGTAGGTGTTGCATTGCTCGTTTTTTCTACTCGACTCGTTGCTCTCCTTTCCACCCAACCGCTGATCAGATTTTGGCCACTTGTGTCTTTCGACAAAGACCTGGACGAACGGATGGTCCTTGCCTGACCTATTTGCACTCTGACCATCGGGCTCTCATGTTCGCTGGCTTCATCGTCTGACCCTGAATCATCTTGGGGACCATGATGGGAATTGCTACGAGCTTCAGAGAGCGACCCTGCGGGCGTGGCTCTATTGATTTGTTTCTCGAGGTTGGGCTTCGGTGTCATGAGCTGTGCCGTAGGGACTGAGTAGTTCTGCGAGTCAAACAAGTCTGTGAGAGATGTGCGAAGATTGTCAAGAAGCTCGTTCTGATCGTGTAGTAGGATACTCCGTTTGTCGGGACTGACATTGACATCATACATATGGGTATCAAGTTGAATGTCAGCCAGAATAAAGGGGCTTTGAGAGGCGTTGTAGGATCTGTAGACTTCGTTGAATGCTTTGGCAAATTGGGGCAAACCACAGGGTCTCCCGTTGACGAAAAACATCTGACGGTCTGGGGTTTGTCGGCCGTCACCATGGGAAGGCCGGGACACATGGCCAACGATACGGACTTCCTTTGAGCTCCCCGAGTCTTTAACATCCGATTGCAAGGCAGGGCTGACCTTCGAGGGCTGCATCTCGAGCTTCAGGTCTAGGGGAACTAAAACTGTCATGGTCTTTGCCCCAAAGATGTT